CCAAAAAAAGTCCCTGGATGTCCCAGATATTCTGGCCATGGAAGTTACAAAACACTCACTGTTTTGATTCAGGTGAAACTAGATACGTTTTCTTTCTTCTCTAAAGGGAAAAAAAATAATATGAAACAGTAATATCTTACTCAAGTTTATTCTGAGTACAGACTGACCTCAATGATCCACTGCTTAAAAATCCTATTTTTTCAGGTGTCAACATCCCACTGGACCTGTCTAGGATTTAATTATTTTCAGGTGAATCTAAAAAACAACATTACCATGTCTAGTAAGATTGGTAGGTAAGGTGAGAGGGACAGGGTGTGAGTGAATACCTACTTACCCACTTGTTTGGAGAAGAAGGTCCTGGTCTGTCCCGGGGCCCAGAGTTCTCCTCACAAGGTGATGTAGGCTAGCTTTCTGGTGCCTCTACCTATGCCATTACCTACACGTGCCAATGGAGGCCTAGGAAAGCATCCAACTCCTGCACCATGCCTAAACTCCTAAAGTGCATGGGTGGGGGGAGAGGACATTGAACATAATAAAGGAGGTATGCTGACCAGCAAGTAACCTTGGATTTACCATTAAAGGACCTAGAAATCTGATTAATCTAAAAGTTAGTGCTCTCCCAGCTCTCCCAGACGACCTGAGTTGTGTTCCCAGCACCCAAATCAAGCAGTTCATTCACAATTGTCTGCAACACCAATTCCAGTGAATCCAGAACCTTCTTCTGGACCCCTTAGGTACTTACATCTATGCTCACATAAGCATACACAACCACACACACGCACACGCACACACATAATTAAATATAAGAGAACCTTAAAAATGAAACATAAATAAATAAACAAACAATCCAGGCTTGGTGATTCAAGTCTTTAGTCACAACATTCAGGAGGCAGAGGCCGACAAATCTCTGTAAATTAAAGGCCAATCTGGTCTATGTAGCAAGTTTCAGGACAACCACGGCCATATAGCAAGTTCTTGTCTCAAAATTAATCTGCTGATTAATTATTAATTAAGTAAAATAATTATTTACATAAACGTTTCATAAATGAATTATGGCACGGCCATACAATGAAATGTTATGTATGATGCTATAGTAACATGAAGTAATGTCACAGTATACCATTTCATACAAAACCGTTTACAAAATGGAATATAGGATATGGCTGTATTTTTGCTAATTGTTTTAAATAACCTACATTGAACTTTTTGGTCATTGTTTAATTTATTGAACCTTTAATATGAGCATATATATGAGCAAAGCATTGAGCCAAGGACTCTGAATGAATGATTTTATATAAATGACAATCCTGTGAAATGGGTCAATCTTTAATCTTTACAGATGGTGAAATGGGAGCGCTAAGTATTTCAGTCACTTACTTAAGTGAGATCTCAGATACACACCTTGATGTGTTGGACTCACAGATCCAAACTGCATAGTAACTTTATATTGATGACCACATTTGTATAGGAAAAAACTTCTCAAGAAAAATGGACACCAAGAAGTTTGCAGTTAATAGCAATTACTTGTGAAAGGTGAGGTTATTTGTAGTTTTTGTTTCTATTATACTTGCCTGTGTACACTGAAAATTGATTGATTTACATGGATTGTGTCCATAATCAGAAAAAAAGGAAATAAAAGTTTAGTTATTTTATATTCATGTGTATGAGTACTTTGTCTGCATGTATATCTGTTTTCATGTGTGAACCATGGAAGCCAGAAGAGACAACTGGATCCCCTGGAACTAGAGCTACAGATGGTTGTGAGCCACCATGTGGGTGTTGGGAATCAAATCCAGGTCCTCTGGAAGAGCAGCCAGTGCTCTCAACCACTGAGCCATCTGTCCAGCCTCCATAAACTTTTCTTTATAAAGAAGCAAGAAGCCATTGTTCACAGCCTGTAGGAAGCAAACTGCTGAAGCATGAGGGAGAACTTCACTATTACAGAGCATTGTCTAAAATGAATAAATAGTATCTTTCAAACAGATGGAAATACCATCATAATCTATGCACATAACAGGCCCAGTGTGTCATGTTATTCAGCTGATATTAAAAACATTATTATCATATGGCTTTCCATAAGATTTTATATATGAAAATACTAATGCAAGGAATGGGATCTGGTACTAAATTTAATATATATGTATGTATGTATATATGTATATACATATACGTGTGTATACATACACACACACACATATATATACATATATATATGTGCACACATATATATATACATATATATATATGTGTGTGTGTGTGTGTGTGTGTATATATATATACTTCTTCCATAGTTTAAGTGTCTTCTAAACAACTTGCCTTCTTTTGTCAGGGGTACAGGAGGAAATAGAAAGGAATATTGAGCGTTCACACATTATTAAAAAGTTAAGCTAGGAGGCTGGCTCCCTGGAGAAAACAATTTACAAGGATGAGAAGAGTGTGGGCAGGAAGGTGACGGAAAGATGGAGTGCCGGGGATGAGGCCTCATCCTGAACTCTAGCTGACATCACTACCTTAGTAGAGCAGCTGTTCAGCAACACCTAACACTTGCCCTGGGGCCAGACTAGTTTCTAGACCTGGGGTGGAGGAGGACACTCTGGGATAAGGGGAAGCAAAGCAAATGGAACTTTCCTTAACACCAAACTGCTTCAAAGGTCAGTCAGCACCTGTCTTCCTCTCTTGCATTCCTCCCACTCCCCTTTTGAAATGTACCCTTTGTTTTCTGTATTACTGTGCATCTTATTATTCCCCATTGAAGTCCCCAAAACAAACGCCTCCATAGGATTCCAGTGATCTCATTACAGGTAAACAATCATCTGGTCACAGAAATAAAAAAAAAAACTAAACTAAACACTCAAGATTGTGCATTTGATACCAATGGCCTAGAACTTGCCAGACATTAAGAATAATCATACTACTAGGTATGTAATTCAGTCACTGAGCACGTGCCCTGCATGCTCAAAGTCCTGGGTTTAGTCCCCAGCAAAACACACACAGAGAGAGACAGAGAGACAGACAGACAGAGAGAGAGAGAGAGAGAGAGAGAGAGAGAGAGAGAGAGAGAGAGAGAGAGAAGGTTCTCCTTATCCCTTTAGATACATAGAGTCTTCAGATGGGAAAAGTGAAAACAACACACATTATAACCAAACATGCTATAATGGGTATAAAGTTACAAGGTAAGAAAAGGGAGACAGTTCAGCCTATAATTGGGGGCCACCTGGATTTCAACCCTAAGGAAAGAAAAAAAAAAACTGGAGGAGAGACCTGTATATTTAAAAAGACTTAAGAGCTAGTGAGATGGCTCAGTGGGCAAAAATGATTGCAGTACAAGCCTGATGGCTTGTGCTTGATCCCAGGAGTCCACATGATGGAAGGAAAGAACCAACAATTCCCACAAGTTGTCTTCTAACCTGTGCACACACACACACACACACACACACACACTTAAACAGATTTAAGGCTCACACTTATAACTCCAATCAGGAAGCAATGGAGTTTCTGTGGCCAACCTGGCCTACATAGAGACTTCTAGGCCAGCCACTGATATATAGAAAGACTCCATCTCAAAACAAAATGGACTTGACACCTTCCAAAACTTCCATCAGGAGAGTGAGGAGGTAAGAAGACAATGATTAGATGGATTGTGGAATCTTACTGGGACCCTGGAACAGAAAATGGACACCAGTGAAAAAGCAGCAACAATTCAAGTAAACCCCGGAGTTCAGTTAACCGAGATGCTCCAATGTAGATTTCTTCATTTTAGTAACTCTTCCGTGTTTACATGGCATACTAAGCAACAGAGAGGGCAAGCTGGGTTGAGGGTGTAAGGAGTTCTCCATACTGTTTTGTAACACCCTTATAAATCTAGTTATTCCAGAATAGAAGGTCAAAAAGAAGAAACTATAAGTTTGAGTGGTCAAAAATAAAGCATAGTTTTTAGGGCATTACATCTGGACGTGTGACCAGTAGAAAATTATGAAGATGAAGGAAATGACTCTGGGCTTTTGGATAATGATTACTTGGAGAGAAGAAAGAGGATTGGGGCAGGAATCACGCACATAGAAAGGGGCTGGGCTAAGTAGAAAAGTTCTGCATCTTCACCTAATTGTGGCTACCAGGTATTAATCTGATGATAATTCATTAAGTCATACATTTATTTGACTTTTGTATCTGGGTTCTATTTTACTGTGAGAGAGTGAGAGTGTGACTAAAAGAGATGCCATAATATCCAAATATTGTTTAGAACTAATTACAAAGACATTTGTCTAGTACTGAATATTAGACATTGTTAGGGAATTGTTACATTTGTTAATGGTAACAGTGGTAGTATTATAGAAGAAGAAAATACCTGTAGTTTTATCTCTCCAGAATGAAGGATTTAGTGATGAAATGGCATTGTGTAATACAGTTGCTGTAAAATATTCCTCCCAAACAAGCAGATAAATGAAACAAGTATGCCAACATGTTAATAGTTGGGGTTTTTGTTGTTTGTTTTTCTGATGTGTGGGTTCAAACAATAGTTAAGAATAGAGATGAAAATGTGTTCCTGTCTCTGCTTTTGTGTACATGTAGGAAAAGAGTGAAGCCGGACAGCCTCGCATCACACTGCTTGAGAGCAATTAAGAACCCATTCCAGGTGTCCCTAACTCTAACCCACAAAATATTCTTCCTACCAGTGATTTCTTGCAGTTTAACATGTACAGAGAGAGAGAGAGAGAGAGAGAGAGAGAGAGAGAGAGAGAGAGAGAGAGAGAATCTCTGAGTGGCCTGTGAGAAAGTTGTCCCTGTCTGGGTATCTGGTACTTAGACTGGATGACAGTCATGCTCTCCTTTCTTCATCCTGATGTCCCCATAGTCACAGGAAAGAGTCAAAGGGCTGTGGGCGGGGCTAGGCCTGTGAGGGCAGTCCCCAGTGCTACTGAACAAGCCTCTGTAGTGGGTGGAGGGAGGGAGTTATGGAAAAGAGGGGAGAGGGCAAGTGTCAGCTCTTCATAGTCTCATGCAGTCACTATTAAGTGAGCTTGAAGAGGCTGGTGGCACCTTTCATTTGAACAGGCTCTGGGGCCTTTACCTCCCTCAGGCTCCTGGACATAATGTCTTGCTCTAAGAAGACTGATTATGTACAGAGTTTGAGCCTTCTGCAGTGGCCTTTGAGCTACCTTGCCATCTGTAAGTACCGAACCAAGAGTTCACAGCAAGAAGCCAACCCAAGAAGGCAGGGCCAGATCTGGGTGATGTTCTTATGGTCTTGTCAGATCTCATTCTTGGCCTTTTGGTCGACTTAGATAGTACTAGAAAGTAGAGTCATGGAGTCTTGTACCCTGAATGAAAACGAAGAGATGAAGCCCCAGGGCACAGTGAGAAAAGACGGGAGTGTGGAGCATAGTCACAATAGATATCAATGTGCCAGCTAATGTCAGCCACTCCTTCCTTAACCTGCATAACCTATAGAGGGCAAACGTGTTTACAGGGGTTTCCTTAGGAACATGGACTAGCACCAAGGAACAGTTAGCATTGTAGGCTTAAAGAAGTGGAGCCTGTGGAGGCTTTGCTTCTTTGCTTGTTTCCTTGATTGCCCTTGTTGTTTTGTTGGTGGATTGGTTGAATTTTGTGAGACAAGCCTATGCTCAGCATGGTCTCTAATTCATCCTCTTGCCTCAGCTTTCTGAGTGCTAGAATTACAGGTGCATGCTAATATGCCCAGCTTTACAGACAACTCTTGAGCAATAGAGTTTTCTTCACTGATAGTGGAGTGGCGGTGTGGAGTGAGAGCAAGACAGTGGAAGGAATGTTGAATGGGCAAGAGTGCAAGGACAGTGGGGTAGGAAACAGTATGGGAATGCAGATGTTGGCTAGGATTGGTCAAGGGAGAGTTGGAAAGTATAAAAACAAAGACAAGGTAGACCCACACCCCAACACAGATTCTGGGATGTTGATGTGAAGGAAGGGAGATAGGAGCCAGGAAGGTAGAAAATGCTAGCTGAATGTGAGCAGTAGACAAAAAGCTTGTTCCGGGCACAGAGTCAAAGTACAGGGATGCTGACTAGACAGGGAGTCAGGGGAACAGGATGAGAGGAGGAGTAGAACTGGGGATTGCATATGGTAGATGACGGAAAAAAATTCTGAAGGGTAAATGACAGGACCTGTGTTGAAGCCCAGGAACAGAGCATGGGTATGGCTGAATTCTGCTGCCAGTACAAATTTGGTCTGGCTTACTCTCTCCTCAGTTTGGATCCTGCAGCCATTGTTCATTAGCCTGCTGTTCACACCCTTGTGGCTGCTACCAACACTTTACTTTGTCTGGTTATTCCTGGACTGGAAGACTCCAAATCAAGGTAAGATTCATGAACCTAGGAAAAAGAATGTTCCACTGTAGCCTAGAAATCTGCTTGTGGGAGGGTTCCACTCACCATGCCACAGACCTCTCCTCCAAGTTCTCAGAGCCACGAGTGCCAGGCAGCTGGAACCATTCTGGGATGTCTTCCTTTCCTACCTCTGGATGTGGTCCTCCACATTGCTGGGGAATCCCTGGGTGAGTGAGAGGTACGGATTAGCAATACTAATATCATCCTCTACTGGCACTTTTGTCTCAGGTGGCAGGCGTTCAGCCTGGGTAAGGAACTGGTTTATCTGGACCCACATCAGGGACTATTTCCCTATTACAGTAAGTATCCCTCTCCCAGTATCCCTCTCAACACTTAAAACACAGGCATTCTACCAAACAACTAGAAGTCTCCACAAGAAAACGAGTATCTTGGCAAAGTGTCAGCTCTGGCAAGATTGCAGCATGGTCTTCTGTCCTTGGCTGGGATATTTTGGACACCCTTGGCATGACTTGCATATGACATAGGCTGAGTGAAAGTATCATTCAATTTAATAAACATGATTCAAAATTGTCCACTAGCAACATGTGTGGGCTTCAGAGAAGTAACTACACTGTGATTCTTCATGAGCAAGAAGCTCACATCTAATGGGGAGAATGGGTAAATGCATAATCAGAATCTGGTGCAAGACACAGAAGTGGTTCTGATGGAGAATGGAAAGGAAATGCTTCCCAGATGTGGCAGTATCTAAGCAGAGCTTTCAATGTTCACTGAAAGTTACCTAGGCAATTACCAGAGGCAGGTGTTGGAGGACACGACAAGGAAGAGATCCAGAAATGGACTGCTCTGAGGTTCCTCTGGGTAATCCTTAAAGGGGATGACAAACACAGTCAATGTTTGGAAGTTTAAACTATATTTATTTTCATTTGTGGATGAATGTTTTGCTTGCATGTAAGCATAATGTAAGCATACAACATGCATTGAGTGCCTGAGGAGACTTGATGAGAGCACTGGGTCCCTTAGAACTGCAGTTACTGGTGGTTGTGAGTAACCACGGGGGTGCTGGGAACCCAAATCAGGTCCTCTGAGAGTGCCAAAAGTTCTCCTAACTGCTGAGCCATTTCTCTAGCCAAAGTCCTGATCTTTTTTGAGAGCAGAGCTTCCTGGCCATGACAGCTAACATAACATTGTACAAACAAAATCATAATGTATATAAAGCTCATGGACACTGATGACAGAAACTTCTTAAAGCCACAAGTGAGAAGAGGTTCATTAGCTTCAGTTGCCCAGGATCCTATCTTGTCACCCCAGGACTGTGGAGATCAAAATCCAGCCTCTTGAAACCCTTGTGTGCTTTGTCTATTAAGCAGCTGTTTCAGAGAATACCCAAATCCCTGACATGTCTTCTTCACCTTGTTGCCTCATGTGAGCTCATTCCTCCCTCTATGCCATTTGTTTCTTCAGATCCTGAAGACTAAGGACCTGTCACCATCACACAACTACATCATGGGGGTCCATCCTCACGGTCTCCTGACCTTCGGCGCCTTCTGCAACTTCTGCACTGAGTCCACAGGCTTCTCGAAGACCTTCCCAGGCATCACGCCTCACTTGGCCACACTGTCCTGGTTCTTCAAGATCCCCTTTATTAGGGAATACCTCATGGCCAAAGGTGCTTCTGATCATACTTGAGCTTCTAGTCACTGTATCTCCTTCATAATGTGTACCTTCCTAAGCCTCTTCTCCCCCACTGCACCATTCCTTTACACCATAATCGTAGTGGGGAAGTCAAAGCATATGTTCTGGAGTGAACTGGCCCAGGCTTAAATCTTGGCTCTGTTGCTTGCTGTAAGATCATGTCATGTAAGACAAATTAGCTATCTCCTAGTGGACTCTGCTTCCTTGACTGAACAATGGTGCTGAAATGGTAGTATCTTAAATAAGCAAAGCATTTAACATACTGCCTGGTACAGAATATGTGCTCAATGAATAATAGGTATTGCTGTCGATGTGGTGGGGGCGGGGAGGTAGAACCGGAATTGCAATTCAGGAAGTTGTATTTATCCCTCTGAAAACAGCCTTGCTGCAGCTTCAATCCAGTTCTTCCTATGGACATTGACTTCAAGCAAAGTGCGCTCACTGCCTTGTTTTCTCTACACTACTTTCCCATTTCCTTGAGCTTTCCCTCCTGTGAGCCATGGGAACCCCGAAGCCAGTGTGTTCTCTCTGACATTTGCTCCTGTCCTGATGACTGTGTCCTCTCTGTGCCTTGATTCTCTCTAGGAGTATGTTCTGTGAGCCAGCCTGCCATCGACTACCTGCTGAGCCATCATGGCACCGGAAACCTCGTGGGTATTGTTGTGGGAGGAGTCGGAGAGGCCCTGCAGAGTGTGCCTAACACCACCACTCTCATCCTCCAGAAGCGCAAAGGATTTGTGCGCACGGCCCTGCGACACGGGTAGGTATCTCCCAACAAGAGGAACAGGTGTCGCTCTCTGCACCTTACCCTGTAGGTTGTGACAAGATGAATACCATTGGAGTTTTGGCCCCTGGGAACTTATGACTGAGTAAGAAAGATGGATGTAGTTTTTTGTTTTGTTTTGTTTTAAGCTTCGGAACATATGCTTCCTCTCAGTGACCTGCACCAGTTCAGTTCCCAGGAAGTCAGACCATGAACTCTGGTATGATGTCCAGGGCAGTTTGGCTCAGGCTAACATGTCAATCATGCCCACATTTCTCTGTGACTAGTAGATAATTCACATGTGTCTGTTGCTAATGAGTTCAAGGCACAGTACATAACAATGAGTCTGTATGAAAAGCTGGAGGCTAGAGCCTGATTTAAAATTCAAGCTCCATGAGGCTTGAAAGGTAGCTGAATGGTAGAGCAACTGCCTAATGTGCCTGAGACTTGGGTTCCATCCCAGTGCCAGATAAAAATACAATCATCATCCCTGGCTATATGACTTACCATGCATATTGGGGCATTATTCTGAGCTTTGGGATTTTCATCTTCCTAACATGACTACTGATCATTGTTCCTCCTGCATGGAATAACTGGACTCCACGGCTCTGGCAGACCTCCAACTTATGATGCCCCTGCCTCAGCTTCATGAGTAAGCTTCCATTATAGATCTAAGCCACCAGGTCCAGTGAGTTATGAGTGAATTCACTCATATAAAATACCTACCATGGACCTTGCACACAGTGGGTGATGGATAAATGTTAGAGATTCAGTCTTGGGAAAGGAAGGAAAAAGGAGCTCGTGCTGAAGTAATAGAGGGCCTATCAGTTCAGTAGTCTAGTTCACTGAACACAGGCAATTGCATGCTCAGGGAAGATACAAACCTGTCTTCAAATGACTTCACCTGAGGGGCCTATCAGTCTGGAGTATAATACACAGGGAGAACTCTGAGTTGAAGTCAGAAGACCTGGGTTCTAGTCTAGGATCTGCTACTCTCTGGCTGCTGCAGGACCCTACCTTTTCTGGGCATGGGCTCTGGTTTCCCCACCATGTCTTCAATATTATGAAGAACCAATGAATCGGGTAACACATACCAGAGTGCTATGGTCTTTTTACTCACAAAAAGGCTGTAAGGAGCCTGGGGTTTTTTCTCCTAGAGCATTCCCTGTACATTGTGGGTTCTTGTGGCCTTTAGAAAAAGAAACATTGTTCTATGCTCGAATCCCATGATCCAAGGACAGAATGCCTTGTGCTTGGTCTCCTTGGGGAGGGGCATTTCAAATATGTGCCTCTATACACATTACCCACATCTTGTGATTGCTCTAACAGAAAGTTAGATGTTTCATCCTTGGCACCCCCTGGAACTTTTTCACCATGTGGGTCTCTGAGTGTCCCTTCCAAGCTTTTTTTCCTGCCTATATCTTTGTCTTGCCCTTGTTATCTAGGGAAAGATAACACTCTCATTGGCCTGGGAATTTTCAATACAAGACATCACAGATAGGAGACCCTGTGAAGTGCCAAAAGAATGTTTTAGGCCTCTGGTAGTGTATCTTAATGGAAGAGTGCTTGGCCTTGAACAAAAATTTTTCCAACATGGCTCCCATGATAGCCTGTGTCTGATAAATGAGGATTTTCCTACAGGGCTCATCTGGTCCCTACCTTCACATTTGGAGAAACTGAGGTGTATGATCAGGTACTGTTCCATGAGGACAGCCGGATGTACAAGTTCCAAAGCTTCTTCCGCCGGATCTTTGGTTTCTATTTCTGTGTCTTCTATGGACAAGGCTTCTGTCAAGGCTCAGTGGGACTCCTACCATACCACAAGCCCATTGTCACTATAGGTGAGTGCTGTGCTCAGCCTTGGGAACATCTAAGCTCTTTCTCCCATTTGTCTAGCTGCATCTTAACCCTCCTCCACCAAATAAGAACAGGGTGGGAGAAGCTGAGAGCTAACTGGAGTGGCCAGAGTGTCTGACTCTGGAAGGGAGAGGAGGGTGGAAGAAACAAGGATTCTGGTACTTTCACACTTCCCTTGCTTCCTCCCTTTTGACAGTTGGGGAGCCTTTGCCCCTGCCCCGTGTTGAAAACCCAAGCCCAGAGATGGTGGATAAATACCATGCACTCTACATGGATGCCCTGTACAAGCTGTTTGAGCAGCATAAGGTCCAGCATGGCTGCTCCGACACCCAGAAGCTGCTTTTCTTGTGATTGAAGAGACTCCATCGAAGCACCTGCTTTGGAGAGGAAACTGGGTGGCCTAGAATCAGAGAGTCCTGGGAAAGGAAGATAAAGGGGGCTGTGAATATGGTCAGGGAGGGGGCATTATGAGCTCCTTTCTGACCATAATACTGCCCCTGCCCACACTCCCACAGGAGTTGTCCCTGAGGAGTCCCACCCAGACATTCTTCAAAAGGGAACATCCCAAGGCCCCTCTAGTCTGGGGCCCTTTCTGAACCTTTGCTCTGAAATCCTTGCTCCTAAAGGACTCAAACAATGACCAGGCAGTCAGCACTCCAATCTTTAAAAAACTTAATAAAACATTTAAATGAATATGTACTTTGCAGACCATAAATTTAACCAGTTTGAAGTGCAAAGTTCAGCAATGTTTATTATTTGCAGAGAGCTGTACAATGACCACCACAAGCTAGCTCCCTAGGGAGTTCTTACAAGCACTGCTAGAAACCCAATGCACATCGGCAGCCACTGCCCGCTGCCTCAGCACCTGGCAACCACTGATTTACCTTGTCTCTGAAGCTCTTCTGTCTGAACAGTTCATACAAATGGAACAAAATAGCATATGTTATTTCATGATTGGCTTCTTTCTTTCAGGATGTTTTCAAGGTTCCTCCATATTATAGGATGTAAGACTGCTCCATTCTTTGTGGCTGGATAACAACCTACTATATATAAACTGCATTTTGTTGATCCAGGCACCAGTGGAAGGACATCTGTTTTTTCCCACCTTTCAGCTACGATGAATAGGGCTGTTACAAATATTCATGTACAATTTTAAAATGATCTTCTGTCCTCAGATACAAAGGCTTACTTCTACACCACTGCCAAGCATCATTTTAGAAAGATAAAAGGCGCCTTACTGGAAATCAGTACTCAGTTGGCATAAGCATTTCACATTTATTTTCCTTGAAATGACCCCTGGCTATCTTAACCCTTACAAAATATTTGTTTTCTAAAAGTTGTACTCTGAATACTTTATTTTCTTGTTTTTGTTTGTATGTTCGAGATGGTATCTCATGTAGTCCAGGCTGCCATCAGACCTGCTAGGTATCAGAGGATGACCTTGAACTTCATATCCTCTTGCCTCTATCTCCTAAGTGCTGAGATTTCATGGGTGTGCCACCATGCTTGGTTTATGTAGTGCTGGGAATGGAGCCCAGGACCTAGAAGATGCTCAGTAAGTACATGGGACAAGGATATCTGCATTTTGTGCTGCAATCTCCAGATCCTGCATTCTCAGAAATCTAAAGGAGTAAATAAAAGCAGAGATGTCTCTTGCTTCAGAAAATTATCAGCAAGTGACATGTTGAAGGGAGGGGGAGATAGCTATCTGTGGTTAAGAGCACATGTTACTCTTGCAGAAAGGGACCCAAATTTGGTTCCCAGCACCCACAATGGGCAACTCCACAACCACCTGTAACTCCAGCTCCAGGGAATCCAATGCACTCTTCTAGCCTCCCCGGACACTTCACTCACATACACAAGGCCACATACATATAGATAAAAGTAAGAATGAAAATAAGACTCATTTTAAAATTCACCAAATAACCCAAGTTGAAGGCCCATTTAGGCTTCTTTTACTTTTGCCTTTGCTTGACTCTTAACTGTTAGGTTTTCTCTTATTTTACATAATTTTGGATCTATTTCTAACCAAGATTTCCCTCATATGCAATAGCCAAATGAATCCAATTTACTAATCTCCAACAAATACCCTCTACTCATCCCTGTCCCAAGCAAATCATTTTCTTCCTCCCAGGTCCCATTGAATCTCCAAGTCATTTCATAGTTACTAACTTTTGTTAATCCAACAAACCCCTTTTCCCCTCTACTACTATAATCCAGTCAAAGACCTCCCCCCAAATTCATTGACTATTGCTATTCTTTCTAGTAAAATCTGCTCTAATCAACCCTTCCATCAGACTACCTTCATGAATCTTAAATCTGATTAGTCATCCTCTACTTAAAATCCTTTCTTGCACCAGGCAGAGGTGGCATATGCCTTTAATCCCAGCCCTTGGGAGGTAGAGGCAGGGGAATCTCCAGCCTGGTCTACAAAGCAAATTCCAGGACAAGGACTATTACACAGAGAAACCCTGTCTCCAAAAACAAAACAAAACAGAACAAAACAAAAGAAAACAAAAGAAAAATGGTTCTTGCTTCTACATTGACCCTACTGATAAATTCTAACTTACACTCTGGGTACCACTAATGTTCTTAGATGCTAATAATTACTGTAAAAAGATAATAGTGAAAACAATAACAGTAAAAATTGTGTAAGAGGTGCTTGAGTAAACAGATGTAATTACTAAAGTGTTTTTAGAGTCTTTAGACTTTAGATCTAAACATTAGAACATTAATGAACATTGTAATTTACTTTTCAAAGATATTTTATTAATTTTTTGAGATTTTCATACATTGTATCTTGGTCATATTCATCCCTTCCCTCATCTCCTCCAAAATCTACTCCCCCATTCCATACCCACCCAACTTTGTGTCCTCATTGCTTTAAACCATCAAGTCCCATATTCCTGGGTGTATGAACCATCCATTGGAGCATGTTATACTTACCAGGCACTATGCCCTTAAAGAAAGCTAACTCCTCTTTTCTTGATAGCTACCAGTTACCCATAACTCCTCAGCTAGAGGTGGGACTTCATGTCCACCTCCCGCTGAACATGCCTAGTTTAACATCAGTGCAGCCATGACAGGCTGCATAATAACAATACTGGAACTAGGCCTCACCATTACAATAACCAGGAAAAGCCACAGACTGTGCCCTGCAGGGGACCAATCACAATTGAGACAAACAAGTACTAGATGCTCCAGAACATTAACAATAACTTACCTAACATGTATACATGCTGCCTATTTCCTTACAATGCTAGTACCAATCACTGTTAAAAAAAAAAAAAAAAAAAAAAAAAAAAAAAAAAAACTTCTTTTACCTCACTTCTGCCAAATCAGAAGTTCAGCCCCCATCTGTATCTGGAGTACCCCTACCCCTGCCCCATCCTTTACTCCTTAAAAACTGTGCCATAGCTGAGCTCAAGGCTCTTCCTGATCCAACCACTGTGTCAGAATGGACAGAGAGCCCATGCTCAAGCTTTCAATAAAGGCTCTTTGCTTTTGCATATGAACTCAGACTCCTGGTGTTTTCTTGGCCTCATTAACACCACCTCCATGACAGGGTTTGTGCAGGTCTTATGCATACTGTCAGAACTGTTGTGATTTCGTGTGTGTAATTCCCCTACTGTGTATAAAAATATTGATGGCCTATATACATTCAGCCAATCTTGCTCTTGCAATCTTTCTGCCTCCTCTTCCACAGTGATCTCTGAACCTTAGGGCATGGAGGGGGAGCTGGATATACATGGCCCATTTAGAGCTGGGCATCTCACAGTCACTTATTCTCTGAACCTTTACCAGTTGTGGGTCTCTGTGTTAATCACCATCTACTGCAAAAAGAAGCTTCTCTCATGAGAGTTGAGAGATGTACTAATGTGAGATCTAGAGAGCAGATGCGAGATACTCAGTCTTCAGGCAGGTCATGGGAAAAGGTGGAGTTGGAAGAGCAAGTCTGTACATTGTGATTTTCCAAAGAGAAACATTCAGCATCCCGTAAACTTATCTGGGGATAGAACCCTTATTTCAAACAATACCTATTAAAATTTCATGGGACATTTAGAGTTCCTCTAAGTGTGATGCTAACCTACAGGATGAGGTTCAAACTCCTCAACATGGCAGGAAAAACTAGTAAAATAGTTTGTAAAAAAGCTAGTAAAATAAAATGGCTAATTTACACCACTGATCTAGGAGATCTAGTTCCAGGATAGCCTCAAAGCCATAGAGAAACCCTATCTCAAAAAGCAAGCAAACAAACAAACAAAAAAAAAATGACTAATTTGCTTTGGGATCCTATCAGGTTGGGGAAAATGTTTTGTTTACAGAATGAGTTAAAACATCATAGGAAGTGATCAAAATGTAATTAAATCAAAGGACAATTGTGTTTGAAGTGTTTTCATCTGTTTCCATTACAAGTAAAAATAGAATTTTACCGAAAAGTGCCAAGGTCACAACATGAAAACGAGGCTACCTGTATTTAATGATCATGGCTCCCTGAAAGAGTAAAAGCACAGACAGATGCAAGTTTAAGCCTTGACCTTCTTGTTGGCATATGCTCGTCATCTCTCAATTCTCCTGCATCTTTTTCCTCATCTGCACCCTCTCTCTGACAAAATACTATCCATTTCCATTTCCATCTCCTCATGCCTCTCAATGTTTTGGGGATATGGTAATATCTTTTCTGAAACTATGATTAAGCAAATGACTAAGTAAGTAAATTTTCTTTTATGAATAAACTCCAACATTGCTTCATTAAAAACAAAAAACAGAAAGGCATAGTGGCTCAGGCTCATAATCTTAAGTAATTGAGAGTATGAGACAGGGGAACAAAAGTTCAAGGGCTTTCAGAGTTACAGAGGAAATTCAAAATCATCCTGGGCAACTTAATGAGACCCTGTCTCAAAACAAAAACTAAATGAGAGCTGAAGGATATACCTCAGTGGTAGAGTGGTTGCCAAGCATGAATGAGAGTATATATTTCATTTCCAGTATACAAAATCAAATACAGAAAGGTAAGAACATATCAAAGGGACCTAGAAGCAAAATTAACAGTTCTTTAATGGTAAAGCCTATGTCAATGTAAGCCACAAGATCAATAATATAGCACTATATTATGATCTAAACCATAATATACAATATAATGAACTTGTAACACATTCCAAATAATATAATTTTATAATTTATCCATATTATTTACAATATTGTTAGTGATGTTTTATAAAATAATATGATTATTGATATACTTATGGAGTAAATGTTGCAAAAGGGACTAGAAATAATAGAATGACAAGTAACATGTGGACACTAACTTCCAGGAGGAGAACTTTCCCTTCCTCTGTATCCTCAAGTGTCAAGTAGACTAAGCAATTCAATTTCAGAGACTGGAGTATGGGAAGGGGAAAATTAAGTCTATTTCTAACTTAAAATTTGAAAAGCAAAAGATGTACCTAATTAATATATATATGTACACACATACACACACACAGTAGATCCTGTAGATGTGTGCACCACCAACGCCTGGCTCATAGATGT